ATATATTAGAATATCAATTAGGATTTGCATACTCAATTCTTGGAAAGAACTAAATTACTTGTAGCATTTTCAACCAAGTATTTAGTTGAAAAGGGTTTCATTGCAGCAGTATCATTACTGGAAAAGCTATAAACCAAAATGCAGATGTGTAAAAGGAGATTTGAGAATCCAGTAGATTTTAAATCATACATTATAAAAGTTAGCAATAACAAAGAAAATGCAGATATATTAATGAATAATCACTAAGTTGTCCCGGCTGAGGCAGGAGGATCGCAGATAGTTCGAGTCCAGCCTGAACTGAACTACACAGACATTGTTTCAGAAAACTAACAAAATTGGCAGCACAATGATAAATCTATGTTGCAAAATTATGTATTGAAATAATTTATTTGAGGATTTCCTGTCAGCTTTCAACCTTACCTGAACTGACCCCAAATACTTGCCACACAACTTTCTTTTTTTTTCCCCCCAGTCCTTGTTCTGTAGTCTTAACTGCTTCATTTTCTTTTCTTTTCTTTTAACTGGAGATTGAATGATGCAGGGCCTCTGACCTGAGCTACATCCCCAGGCATTTTTCTTATTTTTATTTTTTATTTTGAGACAGGGTCTCACTAAATTACTAAATTGCCCCAGCTTGGATTGAACTTGCAGTCCTCCTGCCTCAGCCTCCCAGAGTGCTGGGGTTACAGGAATGCACCACTAGGCCTGGCTTCTGGTTCCTTTTTCAAATCATCTATTTCCCATCAACTGTGTGTGTGTGTGTGTTATTGAGGACAGAACAGTCAGGGCCTCCCATATGGTAGACAAACAATATACCACCAAGCTACAAGTTCAGCTCTACTATCAACTCTTAAAGGACATAGTCTCAAAGATCTCAATTTAGAGTCTAAATATTTACTTCAACATATGGTGAGATAATCAGACAATTTCTGAGATATTCCTTCACTATCCCATCATATGACACCATATAGAAAATTATTATTGCTGGGGTGGCAATCCTCCTGCCTCAGCCTCTGGAGTGCTGGGATTACAGGTATGTGCCACCACAACCACCATTTGTCAAGTTATTCTTAACTTCAATTAAAATTACCTACCTATTTTGCCTATAACTCTACACTCTGCCAGAAGATTTTTTTTTGTTTTTGAGACAGGGCCTCACTTTATCACTCACTTTGTACTTCAGTCTGGCCTTGAACTCACTATGTAACCCAGGCTGGCCTCAAACATGGCAATCCTCCTGCCTCTGCCTCCCAAGTGCTGGGATTACAGGCATGTGCCACCACACCTGGTTTGGGAGATTTTTTTTTTTGTATTAAATTCTTTTATTGGTACATTGTAGATATACAACACAATTACATTTCTCATTGAGAATTGTACCTTTACATGATGCATCTTGGTTCTTATTTTTTCCCCATTCCTAGCCCTCCCTTCACGCCCTCCACCCTTCCCTACTTACAAAGACTTTATTTCCATTTTTTCCATTTCTCATCATTTTTCCTTTCTTTTCTTTCCTTTCCCCTGCCCCTTTGGGAGATATTTTAAAATGTGTCGCATACATAGCATATTATCTATTAAATTTCACATTCCAAAATATATCTGACCTCAAGATTTTCAGAAAAAGTATTGCATACCTGACTCATCTGTCTACCTATCCATCTAATCTCACTTGTATGTATTCATAAGGGTTATTTGTTCACCTAATATCATCTGGGTGATGGGATTTAAACTAATATTTAGTCTCCATTTTTCTGCATCATTGGAACTCTTCTTCACAAGCATGTCAAAATAAAATTCTTTTTAAATTTAGGAATAAGGGAAGGGTGAAATGGAAAGGAAAATACAATTAAGATGTGTTATGTACATGTACCAACTCCCTACAATCAATAATTATGTGTTACAAACATGTACTAATACAAAGAAAAATGAAAAAATTAAGAATAAGGGACTAGGAGTAAAACTCAGTGACAAAGTGAGTACTTAGCAGGTGTGAGACTTCAGTCCCCAGCCTTTTCTCTATGAAGAAAAGTCATAGTACTTAAAGGTGCAAATGTCAGTTATCTGAAGAATTAATTCATGTGGAAAAACTGAATCTCTAGTCATTTCAATTTTAGAAAAAGGCCTCTAAACAAAAGGAAAACAAGGGATGAAAAAAAAAAGGGCATAAACTGTGGGAGTTGAGAGTCAGGAACTGTATTCTGTGTGCATTGCTTGCTGCTTGAGAAAATTCCTGGTTGCAAGCAGCCAAATAAGTTTCTTTTTTTTTTTTTTTGGTACCAGAGAGCAAACACAGGACCTTGCGCTTGCCAGGCAGGCAGGTGCTGTGCTGCTAAGCTACATCCATGGCCTAGCTAAATAAGTTTCAAGTCAGAACTTGTTTGCTGCTGTGCCTATGGTTTATGCCTCCATATCAATCAGATCTTAGACACCATCCTTAAGAAATGAGACTTTATCATTATTGTTGGCAGCCGCCGATGTAACCTCATCTTTTGCTTGTTAGATGTATCGAGTTAACCTCCGATTAACACTCAATGCCTGTGCCTTCCTCATCCCATCCGTGTTTTCTCTGTCCTAACAGAGTGAACTATGACATTTACATTACCATGTGTACTGAAACTGCAATCTTTTTGAGGGCAAGGATCAATCTCACAGTCCAGGTAGCCTAACAGGTGCTTTACCGCTGAGCTACATCCCCGGCCCTGAAATTAGAGTCTTTATCTAGTTAGGAAGGAGAGATCTTCCTCTAAACCAGATGTTTGTCTAAGTATTCCAACTATGTAATTTGCCAGTTTTTGTGCCCTTTCCATGCTCAAAAGCATAAGCTTTTGTGCCCTTTCTGGTCCCTTGTCAGCAAGTTGGTAAACTTGCTAAAGATTGCTAAAGATCAGTTTGTCTAGGAAATTTTGTTTCTAACACTAGAAAAATGAAGTGTCTCATATCGCTCCATTCATATATAAAGATACTCACTCTGCCATACACACGCTGAGATAACTTCTAACCTCTAAACCAGACAACTGCATTCCCCAAGAGTCTTCCCACCCCACACTCGGAGGCTGGGTCACAGGATTTTTAGCAAATGATGGCCTAGAGTGCCTTCTCAAAAGTCCATTTATCTGCAGTTCATGTCCTTACCCCAGCAGAGGGCAGGACGGCCACAGAAAAACTACTATTGTAAACCCAGCCTCCAGATGTTTTAACTGGTTATTAAAGGAGGAGAGCTGAGAGAAGTAGAAGTAGAAGGCAGGGTCAGTATTTGAGTGTCAAATTGAGGTGAAAGTTTTGCTTTACTGCCTATTGATCTGGACCAAGTTCACCTAATATAATAAGGCAAAGTCTAGAAAAAAATTGCAACACAATTCTGACAGCTTGTGACAGGATATGACTTAGAGATCTTTTAACTGAACCTCTTCCTTTTTAATCTTCACTTCTTGCACCAGGGCAGAAATTCTTGACAAAGGACCCTCAACTTTTTTTGTATACTTACATGGACAAAAGCCACCCGTTACAACTTGGAACAAAATATGCTTTCTGCTCCTGTCAGAGATTGCAATGTGTCTCTGACCCAAAGTCAAAAGGGGAATTTCTCCTCATGGATCAATTTTTATCTGGGCTTTCCCAGAAGCCTTCCCACTTCTGCTGATACACTGACAAAGGCATCAGCCTACGTATTTTGTAAAGCTGAAGCCATCACTGGCAAGGGGAATGGAATGACTGTGGTTGGCCTGGGGCTGTGGAGAGACCACTTTCCACCCACAGTCTCAGGTCATCTGGCATGGAAGAGGAGAGGAAGCCAATGGGACACTGTGTGGCAACTCTATAAGGCTGGTAGGGGGCACCAAAGGATCATGCATACTAGAAAGTAGAAAGGAGGAAATAAAAGACTTCTCCCAGATCTCACAATGAGCAAGTCTGAAGCTTTCTAAAACCCATTTCTACTGACTCCTGTGCCTTCCCTTCCTTCTTTAACCAGTGTCTAAATTAACGGCTGCAGGTGCTGTCCTCTCTAGAATAGCCAAGTAAGTAGAAGATACCCAGGTCCATGGGACTAGGGGAAGCAGAGGGGAAAGAAGTCTTCCTAGAAAGGCGAGGAAATGGGACTGGTTTGGGGCACATAACCTGAGGAGATTATGCTTGGATACACTTGCCTATCACAGAAGAAAGCTACCTCACTGGTAACAGTGCTAAAAAGGACAACTATAGGTGACCATGTGCTATACCCATGACTTCAATCCCCACTCTTGTCCTAACCAGTTAAACTAGAAGTGGGTACCAGCTCCAAGAGCATGTGGCCGTAGGCTGACTAGCATCTTATGATCCGTGCT